GAGGGGGGGGGGGACGGACACACGGGACACAGAGCCCAAAAAACAAAACAAAACAAGGCCAGCCTGAAAAAAACAAACAAACAAAAATCTCTGCCTTAGGTGGCACACACCTGTGATCCCAGCACTTCAGAAACTGAGGCAGGAGGATTGCCATGAGTTCCAGGCCACCCTGGGCTACACAGTGAGTTCAAGGCCAGTCTGGACTACATAGTGAGACTGTCTCAAATAAACAAAAAAGAATTTTTTTTCTGCCTTCATGGACCTTACATTCTACTGACAAAATTCAGTGTCTCATTAAAAGTCAGGCTGCATACACTAGTCTGGAAAAACTACAAAACAACTATTTAATAAAGGTCATAAAAACTAACAAATTTCAAATGTACTTAAAATAGCTTAAACTATCTCAAATTTCAGCTGAGCTACAGAAGAGTGAAAAACTCCTTCTAGATGGCAGCATGCCGAGGAACTCGATGCCATTTGAGAATTCAGAAGAGGCTTGAGATCCTGCAATATTTCATCCATGTAAATCTCAGCTGCAGTTTATCCATTGCTTTAAGTCATATGCCCTGGTAACAAGGAGGAAATAGTCTCCTATTATATTAGTTCAAAGCATTATTATTTCTAAAGTAAGAACAGATTGTCTCTCATCACAGAACTCTATTCCACAACTTATTTTCCCTCATAATGAACTAACTGTACCATCACCCAGGGTTAGGCAGCCACTGACCATGGCAACCTCATTTTATGATTTCATATCACCCCCAAACAATAGTCTTCACAGTCAGTGGTAAGGCATTTCAATTTCAGTCTCTTTGGCTATAAACCTAGTAATACATCAAGAATAGAGGCTTTTATAATGAACAAGTGATCTTACTGCTAACATTGGCATGCTTCTAATGTCAATAAGCTTATCTAGAAATATGTAGCTTTCCATCAAGATACCAGTAACTGGTCCCCTGAAAATCCTCCCCTATATTTACAAGAACAAACAAAACAAATCTTAAAGCACAATCTTCAGAATCATAAGCCATAATTTAAGAAGATCACTGAATATATTAGTCTGGACCGTTTAAGGAAGGAAAAACTGACAAGCAAATTATTTAATGTGACTAGCTCAATATAATACATCTGCTCACTGGAAACAAATTGTAAATGGAAGAGCAAAGCCAGGTGTGGCTTGCAGATGATCCATTCTGGGAGGCTGAGGCAGGAAAGAGCATCACAAATCCAAGCCTATGCAGGGCAATTTAATGTCTTAGGGAGAGCCGTCTCAAAATAAAAAAAAGGGCTGGAGATGTAACTCAGTGCAAAGGTCCTCGGTTCAATCCCCAGTACCTCTAATAACAATAAAACAAAGTAGAAGAGACAAATTGAGACTTTTTCACTCCCAGTCAAGGACACTTCTCAATATACCAAGCTAAATCTTGTGTTTTAAGGCTAGCAGATACTATTTCTAAGCCAAAGTTTAGCATCAAAAGGGCAGGGTATTATGTGATGAATAGGAAGGAGACCAGAAGGATCAGTTACATTCTCCTTTTCATACACTAATTTCTCAGATTATCATGCATAAAAGACTTGGAATCTATAGCAACAAGCCACTTGCTGTGATACCTCCTCTAGCTTCACTGCTGCTACCAAAAAAAAAAAAATTCTGAAATATGACTGAAATCCCTGTATTAAAAGGGATGAGAAATGGAATTGGGAAAAGTCAGGTGGCAGAGGAGCTATGTAAACCTGGGTTAATTCTTACTCATGCTTCTAATTTAGCTCAGATGTCAACTTCTTCCAGGAAGCCCTAATTCCTCCTCCTCGGACAGGACTTGTGAAAGTTAGTTATCACTTTATTTGCCTCATAGTATTCTGTCGGCTTACCAAGCAAGAGCAGGTTTTTTGAGGCCAAAGTTCTATCTTAGCTTTTCCACCCTAGATCTTGAACCAGCCTGGCACACAACAGATGGTAAATAATCGTTGCAAGTTCGAGACTAGCCTGGGCTACAAAGTGAGCTCAAGGCCAGCCTGAACTGCATAACGAGACCCTGTCACAAAAAAGACAAATAAATAAATAAATAAATAAACAAACAAATAAAGTCATAAACTTACCACCTATACTGAAGCCTGATAGAAATACCTTAAATGTGGCAATCCTCTATATTCTGATGCAAAACATGGGTTTCAAACACTTTAGAAAATGGAGCTGGGCATGGTGGTCTCCACCTGTAATCCCAGCAGGGCAGCAAGGGGTGCTGAGGCAGAAGGATTCAAAGCCAGATGAGGCTACATAGTTGTTCAAGGTCAGGCAGAACTACATTGTGAGATGCCTAAACTCCCTCTAAAAAAACCAAAAAACAAAACCACAAAAAACAATTTAAAAAAAAGTCGTATCAGAACTCCAAAGCCAACATAGCAATACTCCGGTGTTTTAAACTCTCACAGTTTAACAGAAATATCTCACTCTGAAACCTGTAAACCTAGGGCAGGGAGTGGTAGCAGCTGAGCTATAACTAAGGCTTCTGAGTAACTTTCTCACTTTCTCCCTGCGTTATCTCTATCGTGCACCTGTCTCCCTCTTTCCTTCCATGTTTTTCCCCCCTCTCTCCTTCCTATAGGAGGATCTACACTCAATATTTAATACTTCCTTGATTGTGGGGTTTGGGAGCAGAGAGACTGTCAGCCACAATAGCAGCTACAGAATTCCCGTTGCCAATTATAAAGGTATTTTGTTGGAGACTTCTGAACAAGCAGAAACAAGCACTGAATCAAATATGGAGGGCCTATGCTTTACAGGCTCTGTGAGGTGAAGATAACCTACTTGTCTAGCACTATGTGGCTATGAACTAATTAAAACGTACGATATCACGGTGTTCTAGATCACTCTTTAAGGCTTCTTTTCTGTACAAAGACCTTCTTCCCCTGACTCTCAAATACAGGAAAATATTCTTGCTCCCCTTGCTACAAGCAGGCTGAATGAGAAGTAGTCTGGCATAGTAAGAAAGGTCCCCATGGGCTTATATTCACTTATAGCAGCCTGAATCTCAGATCCCCTTTTACCGGACAGATAACCTTGAAAACATTACTAACTATTCTGCACTTGAGTTTTCTCATCTGTAAAACAGGTTTAATACCTACCTTATTAGAATTCAATAAAATCATGCATATATGGCTCCTACAACAATATGCACTTAATAAATGAATAGTATTAGTATTAATATTTAAATCTAGCTCTGGCAGAGAAGTAAAAAGTAGACAGCAAACATTACTGGCTTCGGTGTATAAAACTAAAAATCAACACAAGGAAAAAAAAAAGGAAAATTATAATACCAAAAGACTAACAGGAATACTGGTTTCAAATATATGTATGTGAGGACACAGATCTTTTCTGGCTGACACAAGTCTTTACCTAATTAGTTCTTGCAAGAGCCCTCTGTCTGATTTTCTTAACCAACCTGGCTACCCCCAAACAGTAACTAGACTCCCCAGAAGTGTCAGCAGCCCTGAGAGAAATTACACCCTGAAGTCTTTCCATATAAATAGAACACTGTGTATTCATACCAGACTGCAAAATTGTTCTGTTTACTGAGAACCATTTGGGCACCCGAATTTAAACTCATTTATCTTGAATTATCTGAAGACTGAGTGGTTTCAATCTAAAGGAGATCCAAGAACCCCCAGAAAAATGTAAACAAGACTTTCAGTGTATGGACAGTTTTCTGTAGAAGGGGTCTATGAAATTTTCATCAAAATGGCAAAGCTGTTTGTTCCCTAGAAAAAGGTTAAGAGTCACTGTTAAGATTCTTCACAGAGCCTCTCTCAACTTCCTAACAGGAAAGCTGGGATAAGCCATCTCAACACAACTGTCTGTTTGAAGTCAAAGAGGCCATTTCTACTTGAAATGGCCTTACAAGTCCTGCCACAAAAAACTGATGCCTACTTAGTAGGTTCGTTTCCACTCAAATCTGTTGTTGCTAACATTTCTCATTTCTGACTTTTCAGCTCAACATTAAATACAAATGAAAGACATCTTGCCATGACAATCACTTCCTAGTATCTTTAAGAACTTAAAATACTATCTGAACTTATTGATGCAAACAACTGTGCCTGCATATTTTGAGGAACAAGATGTCTATTAAGGCCATGACAAAAACCAAGCAACTCCCGCTCTGCACTCCAACATGGATGCTTCAATATGACCAATTTACCCCACAATGACCACTTGCTTCACAAACAAATTCTGACATTCCAAGTTAGAACAGCAGAACTGCTCTATTTCAACCCGTTGTAAACCAATTCCCCATTAGCAGTTAATAGCATTTCACCATTGGTGTGTTCTGATGAAATCTATAACCTGTCATTCATTTACTATTTATGTAATAAGTATTTACATTTTAATTGCAACTTTTTAGATGGGAGGCAAAGCGAAGGTAACAACAGCTGTAGAATATAACAAAAAGGAAGTTAATTTTAGCTTCAGTGATAAGCAAAATTGTAAGTCACAAAAAACTAATATTACTACAGATAAATTTTTAAATGATCACAATGGAAAGATCTTAAAATTTAGTCATCTTTTAACAATAGTCTGTTTTACTCAAAAGAAAACTAATTTGCAGGACTAGTAGCTACTTATATGCTGCAACCAACCCAGAGCTTTTAGGAGTCCTTCCTTTGGGATGTGCAGAGGAAAAAGCAACCTAAAACACTCAAGTCACAGCTCTCTGTGCCAAGTAAGCCACCAAATTCACCCAGCACTAATATATTCAGCCCTGTGTCCCTACTGATTTACTTTGTACATCAAAAACACATACTATGAACTTTCTTTTATTTCTGTTTCATTGCTGAAACAGCTCAAACACACGGTGTGATGAACAATTTGGTGGCACAGTACAGAAACTTACAGTCTTATCCAAGTGTAGCACAACTAAGAAAAAAAAAACTGAAATTAGAAAAAAAATTACTTACAAAGTATTAAGATAGATATTTTTAAGAGATCCAGCTCTGAACTTTACCTTAAAGTAGGCAAACAAGTCAACCTTTTCCCTCGCAGTAAAGCAACTAGAGATATCGATCAAAACTAACCAGGTTTTCCATAAGCAACACTAACCACTCTCTTGGGTGAACAATGCTTAAACAGAATCATGCAGGATAAAAACATTATGAAATCAGCGTACACATCACACTGGAATGGAATTTATCTTTCCTCTGCGTCACGCTGCCTGGATTGAAAAATGTGTGCTAACAATATATAAAGAACAGAGGGGAAAAAAAAAAAAAGAACAGAGAAAATGACACTTGACAGAAACCAAACAGTGACCTGAAATGACTCTAGAAAAAAAGATGCCTTTCCCTTCTCAAAGTAATCGATACAGACAAGAAACTACAGACTATGAAATAATCTGTGCCCCTCGCAGCAGTTACTTATTTGCTCTGACACCTCATCTCTAAAAGTCAAACGCAGGATGACACAAATACAAAACACAATACACCTAAAATCCAACCATTACTTATTGATTTACACTAACAAGGGATGTGGGGAGGAAGGTGCATGATGAAATGTTATTCCCGGGTAGGTAATACCTTTCTAAATCTCCGTGGAATTCATGAATTCAGCGGTTTACCTTCGCTGGCTAGTTTTTTACTAAAATACCTCGTCACCGAGACTTTTCAATCAAAGCTGTCGAATAACATCAACTGGACATAATGAATACTAGGCTTTCTTCCAGCTCTGGTACCCTCTGCATATTAGGCCTATGGGAGTATAAATTAAGGCTCTTTAAAAATATCTGGCATAATTTAAGCCTTCCAAGAAGCAGGACTTTTAGGGGTGATGGGTAATGTCAGTTAACTTCCTCTTCCTTCAAAAAGGTCAGACAGGGAAGCGTCCTCCTCAGATCGCGTCCTACCACAAACCACATCACAACTCGCCTAATCGCTAAAAAACATTAGCCAGAGGGAACGCTTTTTGCACACTTCACCAAAGACTGAAAATCCAACTTACCTCGGGAACGGGCTGACTAGTTTCAAACACATTTATCAGTGAAGTTTATTATGTACTGCTAATGACAATTCGGGAAGCCCACCAACCTCCGCGGCTGCAGGGGGGGCTGAGGGGGGATGAGGAGTAGGAAGGTGTAAGCCTCCCAACAATCAGGGAAAAGCCTTTCCAGCAGGTTGGCCCCAGCGACCAGCAAATCCTGCCCAATAATGGGGAGGAGGATAGGGGAGGAGAGAGAAGGGTCTCTAGATCTCAAAGGGAAGGGCTGCGGAACAGAAGCAAGGCCCGGCGGGGCTAGTTTTCCCGGCGCTGCGGAGGGTCCCCAGGACCCCCGCAGGGCTGCTAGCTGGGGCACCTAAATGCTCGGCCAAGCCCGAAGCAGGGCTTCAAAGCAGCCCCTCTCCTGGCTGGGCTGCGGCAGCCAGCAGGAGGGGTCCCCCCAGGACTTCGGGGTCCCCCCGGGCTGCGGCGACGAGAACCCAAAGGCCTGAAGGAAGGTGAAAAGGATACTGTTGGGGCGCCTGGGTCTGGAGGGCCCTGATGTTCGGGTGAGGAGGGGCCGCCGCCGCCGCCGCCGCCGCTGCCGCCGCCGGGTG